TTGGTGATGTCTAAATCATTTCAAATCAATTTAGGTCCGTATATATAGGAACTCTGATGTGACTAAATGAGAGACCCAAATGTGTACGAAGACTGAGATTGTGATTCCGATGAGATCTCGCAAACATTTTAGTTAGTTTCAATAGCATGATGAACTTAATATATAAGAATATTTTATGATATAAATAAAAATTTTAATAAAATTTTAATATTAAATTAATACAATTATTGTTTGAGATCTGTTTTCATTAATTAACTATGTCGTCAGAATCATGATTGAACAAATCTTTTTCCATCGCTAAATTATCTTTTTGCTGTATGAATCAAAGGACGAGACAGCCGAGCTATGTTTCACGAGTTGTACAGCGCAAGTATCGATCTTTAGCGAGATTGGGTGTCATCTTCGACACTAATGCACCGAATCCAACTTTAAGTTTCATATATAGATATCATATTTATACCGAATCGTATATATGGTATGTCCGATAGCATTGGACCGAGTGATGGGTGCGATGATCTCCTCACCAATGACCCAAATCGATGCAGTGAAGTGATGTCTCGTTTGACCATTTGGATCACGCGTGTTTACATGACAGATTTGTGTGAAGAACTGAACGTATCACGAGACCTGCATGGCATGGGGAAACCCATCGGTCTCACCTCTATCTAACTCGACGACATAAAAAGTCACAAAGACATGATTGAAATAACCCCCACGGGAGCGCCGTACATTGGAATGACGTTTGTCTACTGTTGTGCAGACTTCTTTTATCACGTTAACTTGACCTCACCTACACCGGCAGAGAGTTGAAGGGGGGATCGCCTCGGAAGCCGCATGCCAGCGACTTGGCTTCTCAGTGACTAGTTGAGAACTGTTGCAGCTTTGACTTGCCATTGCTGCTCCGAGCTGGGAAGAGGAACGATGTGCGGCGTGATCGTTGTGGTTTGCAACAACACGCTTCATTGATATTTTACGCATCAAGTAGCAAAAACGGACAACCTGTTTTCCTCCGCCGCGTGCATGCAGTAGTACGTATACTGACACCAATCTTCGAAGCTAATTATATATTACGTTAAACCTCAGCAATATTTAATTTTTTAGATTTAAAAAATTATATTATTTTTTAAATTATAAAAGTAAAATAATATATAAAAATAATTTTAATTTTTTAATTGATGGTGATGGACAATAGCGTCATTGAAAGCTGCAGATGGTTGATGTAGATGAATAGAGCGACGACAATGAGAGATAAGACCCGCTCTATATTTGTATCGACGCTGACGTAATTGTCCGGTAGCCCTTTTGTTGCTTTGCATCTGTGTCGACATCGAAGTAGTTGTTGAGTGATGAAAGTGCCGCCAATGCAAATGTCGAGCGGTGAAAGTACCGCTCAATAATTACGTCGACACCGACGTAAATGCAAATGCCGAGTAGTCATTTCGTCACTTGACAACTACGTCGATTTCGATGCAACAAGTCACCCTTTAGCCACTATGTAATTGTGTTGTCGATATCGATACATCAACATCGGCGTAGTTGTCGTCGACGTAGTTGTCGAGCGATGTCTCTCTGCATCTGTGTCAACGTCGATGCAAATATCGAGTGACCCTTTCACCGTTAGTAATTGCATCAACGCCAATGCAGATGTAGAGCGACGAAAGGATCGCTCGACAACTACATCGATGTTGATGTAGATACAAAGCGATCATAATATCTCATTATTAGTTTTCTCATCCACAATAACCACTTGTGACCCCTAATGGTGCTGTCGTCCGTCACTACCAACTAGAATATTACAATTAATTTTTTATCTATTAATTTCTTATTTTTATCATAAAACCGATGACACTATGTTAAATGAACCTAAATATTTCATTTTCATAATTATAGAGATTCCAATATGTAATTAACCCAATCTTTGTCACGTGAATTAATTCATTTAATTGTTGTCGGATAATAGAAGATTCATTAATTAATTAGATCTTATGATATCACATGCATACCTTTTTTTTTTTTGAAAAAACTTCCTATATATAAGATAAAAAGAAGATGCGTCAAGGGAATGATATCAAGGATCGGGGAGTTAAGTTACAAATTTGGTCCATAACCTAATAAATTTAGATTTTTGGATTGATTTCATGTTCAATCTAATATATGTTGACTTTGATCGGCTTAACTTAAACTTTATTCGATTTATAACATGGCATGACAGAAGGGATTGATAGGTAAGTCCAAGATATGGATTTGACTGAACAAATTGGAAAAAAAAAAATGAAGTCAATGTCAACTTGTAAGTTTTACTGAATGAATACGAATACGGACAAAGCTGAATGAGTGAATCATCTCGTTGTGTTAGAAAATATACAAAGTAAGTTTGAACGAATATGAGAAAAATTCTAGTATGATTACATAACGCATAGACGCAGATAGTATGAATATGAGAAGACATAAAAAAAAAAATTTCATGTTAGATAAAAATAAATGAACCAAGAGAACAGTTATATTTCATTAATGATTGAATGAGTGGAGGTTATATATAATGAATATAACATAATTATAATGAGATCTATCAAATTGATTTAATTAAAATTGAAACCATGTCAAGAATTTATGATTGGAACTCCTCCATACAAAGATGTGAAACAAACTCTTAGAATTTATGGTTGGAGGTTTTTAGTTTTTCTTAATCGATTCCCTTTTCTAATATAGATTAATAACCAACAAGCCATTTGCACTATGACTTTTCTCGTCACTCTCTTTAAGTGGATTGATGAGTCATTAAAGGTCAGACATTAACTCAATCCAAAGACTTCAGCTATTAGGTTATGAGTCAAACCTATTATATATAACCTAATGTTATGAAGCGGATTCACTCATCCATATCTACCACGCCATGATGTTATCTATCTTTATTCGATCAAACCATAGGTCAAACACTAATTCAACATAAAAGCTTGAGCTACTTGGATATGGGCCAAATAATATATATAATACAATCTTTTCAATTCTTAGTTCTCACTCCGTCTCTTCTTTATCTCAATACTATTTGATTCAAGGAAATATATGATTGTTTGTGATCAGATTGAGCTCCATTAATATTATACAATCTCAGATAGATTGAACTTTTGAGTGGAATACCTCATATTCAAGCTTGAATTTTCATGAACAAGCTATCATGTAGAGCGATTAAAAGATGTTTTAAACAAACTCGACAAAACAATGTGGCGAAATAAAATGTTTCGGTGAAGATGGCATACCATAATGTGTCAATAGTTTCAAAGATATAGGGAGAAAGAGTTGGTGAAAATGAGAGCAAATTGCAATTTCCGACTCGAGATAAAGCAAAATTCAATGATCAGTAGGAGATATTACATTAAAAATAAATGTGATATATATATATATATATATATATATATATATATTCAGAAAACAGAAAATAAGAAATCAATTATCCTTTTTATTTTTTTATTATTCTCCAAAAGTAAATAAAAGTTGAACCATTCCAACACAGACCATTTACTTGTTCTCTTCAATTCAATATGCTAATGAAAGAAAAAGGCCTTGTCATATATCACTAGTTTTTTTCAACCAAATGAACACTTTGGTCATCTATTCAGATATCAAATATGTTTTGGTCATTTATCTAATCGGACCAATCCATATTGATATATTGATACATAATATATTGATATGTTTTAAGGAGAATAAAAGAAGAGGAAGGATAGTTATTTTATTTGTGGATCATATCAAATATGTTTTGGTCATCTATCTAATCAGACCAATCCATATCGATGTATTGATACATAATATATTGATATGTTTTAAGGAGAAAAAAAGAAGAGGAAGAGATTAGAAAGGAAGAGCATATAAGAGAAAGAAGAAGATAATGAAGATAGGAAGAAGAGTAAATAGAAAGAGAAGGTGGTGGAGGAATAGGTAGAAGTAGGAGGAGAGATGACTAAAAAGAATAAGAGAAAACATACCTTTAATAACAGATGATGATCATTAAAGGTAGATGAAGGAAAGAGAAGACAATGATGCTCATATAACGAGTTAGAGTGAATTGCCCGAGGATGATCCATCTGCCGATCTACACTTAAGCTAATATTACTAATTATTTCATATCGATCCGAGTAAAACGATAATCTTTAATTTTTTATATATTTATTCTCTATAAAATCCTTAGATAGATTTTATAACAATAATAATGATGGATTTTATAATAATAATAATAATGATGAATTTCATAAAATCCGTATCGACGGAGCAAAACGAAGTGGACCTCACCACCTTATAAATAACCTCCAATAATAATAATCCCTTCAAGCATGCGGGTCTTCTTCTCCGCTTGGGTTTCTTCGCTTCCCCGACTTGGCTTCGTTCCTTCTGCTCCCATTTCTCCCTTCTCACTCATCTCTTCTTCTCTGCACCCTTTTTGACTCTTCAATCTTGCTTCTTCTTCTTCTTCTTCTTCTTCTTCTCCCTTTGTTCTTCCGTCACCATTTCATCATCTTAAAGATTTGATTACCGCCGAAAGATCATACTTTTATGACGAAAGCTCCGGGTTCGGGGATGGCGAAGTACGCGAGGCAGGTCAGGATTAGCGGGGAGGCGGCGGTTGCGGACGCCGCCCACCAGCAGTCCTCCTTTGGGGTTCACACCAGGGCCAAAACCCTGGCACTCAAGCGCCTCCAGGAGTCCTCGCCGGCGGAAGCCTACTCCTACCTCCAGCTCCGGAACCGCCGCCTCCAAAAGCACCTCCCCGCCCCCTCCTCCGTTAGGTCTAGGCCCGCTGCCAAGAACACGCTGAGCGCTAACCCTAATTCCGGCCCTACCCCCAAGTTCAGCAGCAATCCGCCAGCAGGAATGGGGGAGAGTCGAGTGAATTCGGACTCCGCGGGGTCGGTGTCCATGAGGAATCGCTGCTTAAAGAAGGCAAAGGCGTCGTCAGAGGCGGCGGTGGCTGTTCGGGAAGCCTCATCTAAGGATGATGCTGGTTCGGAAGCTTCCTTTGGGGAAAATGTTCTTGAGCTCGAGGCAAGCAGGTTGGTTTTCTCAAACCCTTCCAAGATTTGGATTTGGAGTCCGTTCTTTCTTGTGCGTCACCATCTCGGTGGCTACCGGCATTGCCAATGATCACTTGTTCTACTTTGTTCCTCCGGATTTTTCGGCTTTCTTAGCTGATTAGGAGGCTTTTGGCCGCAAAAGGCACGCCTTTTTCAACCATTGTTTATTTCTCTGTCTAAGTTCTTCGATTCCACTGTTTACATGAGACATCTGAAGTGTGGTTTTCTATAAAGCCCGTGAATTAAATATCTTTGCGAACATTAAGTACCGTAAGCTTCCTTTAAGACACTGTTCTTGGGATCATCAAAGTCCATGTTCCAGGTTGGCCTTCGTTGATCTTTATCCTCCCTTCTTACTTGCTCCAATCTGCTTTGCTTCAAATTTCCTCCGGTAGAACCAGTTGGGTCTTTTTTTACCATGATTCACGAAACCTAAGTACTGTCAGAAGACGAACTCGTTGTGCATGGTACACGATGCTTTTCTTACGATGTTCCTTTTCTACCCGTCACTGCTTTCACTATCAATCTGATCCCTCTGGCTGGATTGTCCTCTACTGGTGCTGTGACTGCAATATTGTCTTTCTTCTTACCATGTTCCTTGATAGAAAATTGACAAGTACTTGATCAGATCGGTACTGTTTTCTTGTTTGGTCACCTCTCATTAGGTTTCAAGAACTAAAATGTCATAAAAAATTCTCTTAAGCTTGCATGTGTGTTTTGCCATGCATGCTCACTGTCCGTAGCACTAGAGATGATTTCGTTGCTGTTCAAACCTTCTTGGCTGCAGGAGTGCGAGAGAGTCCACACCTTGCAGTTTGATAAGGAATTCGGACACCATTGGCTCGCCTGGTTCAACAACTCGGCCTACTAAGTTCATTGTCAGCAGTAAGAGGCAGGCATCGTCCATCGTCCCAACTGACCCTGAAATGGAAGAGCTTTTTGCAGGCCCCGAACAACTCCAACAAAGTAGATTTATAGAAAGGTACGAGTTTATCTGTGCTTTGAACTCCTCGCAGTTATTTGAGGCTTAGAACAGATTTATTGCGAGAGTAATCAAACGTTGCGGTCACCTGCGATTGCTGTCGCCTTTTGTCAGGTACAACTTCGATGTGGCGAAAGATCAACCCCTTCCTGGGCGGTATGAATGGGTGAAATTGGACTCTTAGATGCTTTGCCATTAACCTCTCTGCCTCTGACCGAGATACATTTGAACGTGGGCTGCCTGCTTCGGAACGGTGGCATCACTAACCCTTCCTTTCTCCAGAAAGGATGCTCGCACCAAAGATTAGTGTTTCTCCAGAAAAGGACAAGAACCCTTGAAGTGGAAGTGGGAGCCCCATCCAATATAAGATCATAACAAGTGTCATTACCCCCTGTTTGTATCTTGTGTATACGAGTGGTGGTGAAATTGAGATGTCTTTGTGAGGAAGCATGACCTGTTTGTATCTTGGAGACAGATCAGTTCTGCTGCTGATATTGGGCTTCTTTGCCATTGCCTCCTTGGAAGCTGTCCTCTCTTTTTCTGGGTCATAAGCTGCACCTATTGCTGTCGAAATCTACCTTGTGCTTTTCTATCATGCGCATTGAGATTCTTCCCGACGCTGCATAAATAGCACGCATTTGTAATGAAATCCAAATTCCAGAGAAGAAGCAACTCACGGGGAGCGATACAGAACAAAGATGAAATGCAAATGGCCGGAGAGCGAGATTATCCTTTGATATATAGATGCCTTGCGAGCAAGAGAATTGAAGTTAAAGATGATGGAAACACAATTACATGGTCTTTCATTCTTTTCGGAGATCGATTCCAGCTTTCTTAGCAACAGCATCCAAGCCATTCTTCTCGATGGTCTTCAGCGCCTTGGTGGACAACCGCAGCTTCACGTATCGCTTTCCAGCTTCCCACCAGACCCTCTTGTACTGTAAGTTAACAAACTGCAACTTCTTCGTCTTGTGGTTCGAGAACGAGACTTTATTAGCCCTGTTTGCCTTCTTCCCAGTGAACGGGCACACCCGGCCTGAAACCAAGAGAAGGATTCAGTGCCACCGGCCTTTAATCCTCCTCCATCAGGAAGTTCTACGTCAAGTACTTGTGGAAGCAGAGCATGAGTTTTCTTTTTTGGTTGGGGCACAATGATTAGCTAATGCTAGCCAAGATGCAATCATAGAAATGCTCTAATCTAAATTACTCGTATTGTACAATAAATCAATAACGATGCACACAAATTATACAGTTCATAGGATGAAATAATATAGATGTAAAGTGCATGGATGCATATAGTGAATAAAGCTGGCATGATTAGAACAACATTTATTAAAAGAGGAAACATATGTGATGTACCTAATCTACAAAAGATAAACAAGCAAATGGTCAGCAACATATGTTAGCTAACATAAGAAAAAATATTCAACAACAGAATATATAAGAAATCCATATACGACCACAAAGCGTCGAAGAAAAAGAACACCATTACCACTCTAGAATAATAAGCTACAATAGAGAGAAACCACGATAAAAAATAAAAAAAAGAAAACATGATATCCATTACAAAAAGAAAAAAAGAAAGTGGTGGAAAACTTAAATCGCTACTTTACGTGAAATTATTGGCAATGGAACTTGACCGAACTAACCCAAAAAAAAAAAAGGAACTTGACCAATTTATAAATGTGCCCTTATATTTTTCAAGAGATTGGAGGTTCAATTTTTTTTTTTAATTTGTTACGTCGCACCAAAAATAGAGTTCGCACGGATTTCTCCTAAACTTTGCTTTGCATGGGTGTGAGAAATAGCCTAAGATTTATTCTTCCAACAAGGCATCTGGATCATGGTAGAAGAAATTTCTCTTTCAGAACTAAGCAGAAATGTTAATGTCGAGATGGCTTTGAGTATCTACCTGCTTGATCTCTAAGCAAACCAATAGTATCCTAAATCTGATAGCTACCATAAAAACATCACCACACTTGAATTGTGTTATTACCTTAATTATTTACCAGTAAGACATGAAAGAATGACACAAAATAGCAGTTGGCAGCTTGACAATGCTTCCGTCATCGATCTAGTCTTTACTGCTACAGAACACCTATGCGTAAGGCATAAGATGAGGGATGCACTATTACATGTAAGATGTCAACTCCAATTAAGTAAACAAAACGAATTGTAAAGATATCATGCCCGCAATACATGACATCTAGATATGTACCAGATGGGCCTGTTACCCCTTCTTTAAAACAAATTAAATAGATCAAACAGCAGAATACAACACAAAGATAGGACTATTTTTGGAAAATGGAACATCAAACCAACATTTTGTTGGAGTATAAATCAAACTTTGTGATTAGATAAGATTTGAGTTTAGGAGTCTTAGTCAAGATAGGATTCCCTATTGTAGTTAATAGTTAAAATCTTGAATTCACCCCTCCATAAATAAAGAGTTCATGTAATGCTTTAGGCATACAACTGAGAGAAAAGATGAATTAAATTAGAGGTTCAGAGATTTAAGGTCTAAGAGAGATGGTAAGTTTTATGTTTAATAAGAGTTTTAGTTTTTGAATATTCTCTACTCCTCGATACTCCTTTATGATTTCTTGATGCCCATTATCTTTCATGAGAAATTTCCTAACATGGTATCAAAGTTTTGTGATTTCTAACACCTTTCAAGGATATCAAGATTCAATCATGACACGATATGCTAAAAGTTCATTTAAACCATCTAAGGCAATAACAAACACATCTTATGCATATTTGAAAAAAAGAGAGCATATTTTATCCCACCAACTAAGGATCCAAAAATAATCAAGACATTAAACTAGACAAAGTGAGATGTTATATGCTAACTTCACAAAAAATGATTCTATATGTATGAATATTTTGACTCCAAAGACTACATCAGGAATCGAATGGCTAAAGAAATAGCCACGATTTGGCATATTTGCTCGTGTCTGAAGTTCACAAGCCTAAATGTTGCCTATAGGTCCCCTGGCGAAATTAGGAAGAAGAAAGATAAAAATTTGATGCATCAAACAGTGACATACTAATGAGAGTCAGAAATGAAAATTTTCCCTCTATCGACTGAACATCCAATCTTACACTCTGGGAACGAGTCTTGTCCCTGAAGCAGGACAGCACTTGACTTCACATAGACGATCCGTGTAGATGTGAAACAGTACTAACCACATGACACTAGGAAGGAAATATTAAAATCGCTCCCCTTCTTCCTCCTCTTTTTTTTTCCCTCTGTTACTAAAGCAGCAAAACTAGTGGCTTCTTTCGAATTTCGCAACAATTCGACCACCGAAACACTTGACAGGGAGTGCAGAAGAGCAAAGAGCCAAACAAATAAATAATTAAATAAACAAAGAAGAGCATAGCACGAATCGGACAAGGGAAAAGGGGTCGAAGGGTTCGTTACGGGCAACAACGGGGTGAACCCGAGCCGTAGGAAGAGGGAGAGAGGGTTGGGAAGTGACGACGGCGGGGGTGACAATGGGGGAGCCGACCAACTGGGACCTCCCGAAGCGTAATGCTCGCATCGAAGTTGGCCTCGACACAGAAGACGCAATCCCGGAGACGGTCATGGAAACCCTAAGCTTGGCCGCAGAAGACGGAGGGGGAAGAGAAGAATAAGTCCTTCCGAAGCAAACCGCCAAGTGTCCAGGCAATGTCGCCGCCATTCTTTGCACCCTCGATTTCTTTTCCGTCGCTTTGTTGGTGTTATGTGAGTGGCGGAGGCGTGCGAGGAAAGCAGAAAGGAAAAGGGAGGCAAAGATAGGGTGCGGATAGATGAACAAAATATGGAGATAAGGTGGGCATTGGTTTGCCGTCCATCATGTCTAGACTTTGCGCCGAGAAAATTCTCTCTTCGCGAACCCGGCCCATATCCCTTCTCATGGTGAGTGTCCAGGCCCAGTCACGCTAGATCACCAGAGCCCGTTGGCGTAGCCAGCTCGGCGCTGACTCACTTTGCCCTGCTCCAAAGAACCGGCAAGAAGCCGACGCTTTTCTATGACCAAGAAAAATGCGTTCCATTGACGAACCAGCGTCGCATTTCCTCGTTTCGGTCCCAAACGCGCATGAGTTTTTCTACATTACCAAAAAACCATCATCATAGAATGTGCAGCAGAAGCAAAACGGAGAGACTTTCTTCGATTACGAATGCTGTCGCACGATTTTTCTTCTTTTTTTCTTGCTGAGTTTAGATCGCTGGTGCATACCGGCGGCGTACTTTGTCCGCTCGATTTCCCCAGCCAGCAGCGCACCATTCGCAGCCACGTCTGCGGATTAGATGCGCGTGCATAAATCTTGCACACATGTAAAGAAAGCAGCACTTCATGTTCAGGAACTTGAAACAGATTTAAGACAGGTTCAGTCTGCCTATCGGGTGGTAGTCCACCAACCAACAGACATGGGAAATCGGGTGGTAGTCCACCAGCCAACAGACATGGGAACATGGTCCGCTCCAGTAGATTGGACATTTCGTACCCCCAATAATATTGACTAGTTAGAGATATGGTACCATTGACAACATAGTTGCAAACCATTGCTCATGGAAAAGTTTCAAATCACTTTTAAACAAACATACTGTCGTAAAACTACAATATCAGATGGTACACCGACAACTAGTTTACAATGTACTCCGACCAATATCAATTCGTTACTTGTACTCATCTCAAGTTCATGAGCATGTGCTTCCTTATGATACATGCATACAGCTATTTTCTAGTGATGCTGATGGTACAGGCAGCACTAAATCAATTCTTAATGTTGAAATGAAGCAACAAAAATTTAGCAGATCAAAATATAATTTTGATCACATATGCCATGAAAGACCTACCCACCGAGTTGGAGACCCACCTTTCTTACCCCACTTTATGATATGAAATTATTAGTAAAAAAATTTGAAGTCTCTGTATTTTGCTGTTGTGCAAAACAAATGATCAACCACCTCATGGAGTCTTCTAAGCTTACATGCATCTGCCCTACAATGCAGTACAAAATCTCATCAGAAACTAGGAAATATTAAATTGTGGTGGAACACATTGTAAAGAAACAAAATTGCAGAATTAGTCATCTAAAATCGTAATTAACCAAACAAAGAAGAAAATGGAACACATATCATATGCCTGCAAAACCAGTGCACACAGATTGCTCAATGAAAAGGAAAGACAAGTGTATATAACATGAACAAAAAGCGATAGCTTACACTATAAGTAGAGTGAGAGGAGGTCTTCAGAGTAAATTTTCAATCTGCAGCTCTGTCCGAGGTGAACATCCCCAAACATATACCTGGAATAAAAAAGAGAGTTCTGTAAAAGGGGCGTTCCCACTGCACAAGGCTCCGGCCAATGATAAAGAGAGCATTGTCTTATTGGAAATAAATATAGTAAAAAGAGAGAGAATATGCAGCAAGAAAAAGGGAACAAAAGGAACCTATATTCACAATACTCTGGCCAAGCACATCGAGCTTTTCCATAATCCCAATAGCAATCCACATCTCTAAGTGGACCTCGTCTGGCTGTTCACATGCCATTTTGATTAAATGCCAAATTCCTAATTGAAAAGAAACTGAGTAAACTG